GGTGATGAGAGCACATACCCAGCCTGGAACGTTTCCAGTGGAAGAAAACTAATCTTGAAATAGAAATTCTTATCTTAGCAATGGGAGAATGGTGGCAGAGACACAAAGTGCCTTTCACTGTGGCAGTGGATAGGATGTGTAATTACCCGAGCTGATGGAAGTCCTGTGTTTTTTAACTTGGTTGCGTTTCTCTGGCACTGCCATCCTGACAGTGATTCCAGTCACTGTGTTACATTTTTACAACTTGTTTTGTCAGTGCTCAGATATTTCTTCTTCTGAAACTTTTGTTTGCCCTAATCCTTAGGTTTTTAATGGCCTTTGTTTGGCTTCTTGTGCTCGTGGGTCAAACGTGGGCTTGCTGTGATATTAAACTTTCTTGCCTGTCCAGCTTTTCCTGGTGGGTTCTTTCCAGGAACACCCTCTGCAGTTGGTCTATATCTAGATTAGCTTTTTTTCCAGGGCCAGATAATAATGACCTGAAATGTTCTCTAAGTGTCTCAAAAATAAAGCTACCAGTGCATTCTGTGTGCGCAAGAGATGCTGGAAATACCTCAGCACCTTTTGGAAAGACCACTTGCTAAGCAGAGCCATGAGCTCTGAAACCTTCCTTTTTGGGGGAGGTGAAAGATTAGGACAATTGCAAATGATACAAATTAAAGAGGAGGTATTAGATAATTGATGCCCTTGGCCAACTGTAACAATTCGAAGAGAGGTTGCAATGACCAAATGCTTTAGAGAGGTGAGTTTGCTGCAGGAACGTGGTGAAAGCAGCTGCCAAAGGATTAAGACCATTTTTAAGAGACTGGGAGGTGGAATGGAGGGAGGAGATGGAAGATAGAAGGAAAATGGGATGCGAAATTCGGGAAAGGGACAATTGAAGCGAAGGCAGACGGTGGGGGGGACCCGGCAGGAGCCAGGGGGATGACAGAGTGCCAGGGAAATCCTGCCAGCACACCCAAGGTCAGCCCAACCTACAGGCCAACTGCCAAGTGGATGGCAGCACGTGGGAGGCAGGGTTATGGCCATGCAGGGTTGGAAGGAGGTCCAGGTGCAGGATGGCAGAGAGTGGCACGTCTGTGCAGTCCTTGTGTCCAGGAATAGGTTCTGGGACACAGTGGGCAGAATTAGGGAACTTACTAAGAGATGAATGAAAGCTTTTCTCTCAAAGCAGCCCTGGCAGTGCTGGGCAGTGTGTTCATGCTGAGGGTGCACTCTGCTTGCTCCTGGGGAGAGAACTTGTGCTCGGGGTACCAACTGTGTGCTGGTGTTGTTTTGGCATCAAACTCCTCGTATGACCTTGCACAAATCAATATAATCTAAAATGTGGCTATAGACAGCAACCACATCTTTGTGATTACTTCTAGTTCCAAAGCCTGATCATTTAATGTTGGCCAATTTCAGTGCCCAGTGAAATTCAATCAGAAAAGGTGGTCAGGAGGATAAATGTGAGTCTGAACATTGAGTGGGGTTTCCAAATGCACCTTGAATAACAGGCTGTATTGACACCAGTGAAGATCTTGGAAGTCTTCACAGACCCTCTGTGTCTTTAGGTCTCCACTGTGATCAAACCCCAGCCCTCAGAGTGCCCTCCATCCTCCCCCTTGTAAAACAAGGTCGTTATTGCAGAGTATGGGGGTTGAATAACCTGCCCGTAGCGCTGGGTTGGGAGGGTTATTTTGGATGAACGGACCTGGGATTTAGGGCCAGGAGGACAGCAACCCTCATCTACACACATCTTCCAGCTCTGTAATGTCATGCACAGAGCCTGGGGATGGGGTTTAGCTCCTGGAGGGGAGGGGTTGCCAATGATGGGCATTTTCCTTGGAAGGTAAACCTGTGGACCCGCTTGTGTGTTGTTAGCCCAGCGCCTGCACTCGGTGGCCATGTGCTCTCCTGCAAATTGTGGCCTGCACGAGGCAGCTCTTGTAGAGATCAGAAGCTGGAGTGTGAACTGGGGGAGGCTGACTGGAGGATGCCCCTTGGGGGAGGCTGGGACCCCACCACATCCTCGTTACCGCTGACCTTGGCACGAGCACTGCCTGCTGATGGATCGGCTCCGGAGCTGGACAAGACCCTGGGGAACCACTGCATTATCTATTATCGTCCCATCAGTGCCTCCCCTGACCCCTCCCAGCTCCGAATGCCACAGGCATCAGGGAAGGAATAAATCTCTGTCTGATACTGAGAGAGAGAAGGGAACGAGAGCAGGAAAAAGGAGAGATGAAAAATGTCCTTTTTATGACTCTCACAACAAAGCTGGCCACATGATTCGTAGCAAACATTACTCTGGGAAAAGGGAGGGAGAGAATGGGGAGGGGGGGAATCAGCAAAAAGCAGAGCTGCTTCTCTCCCCTGGAAGATGCCCACAGGGAATTAATAGAAGGGATATGGGTGACCTTTGAAGGTAAATATCCCAGGAAAAGAAAGGAAAGAGGCCTCAAAGCTTCAGAAAGCCCACTCTGTCTGAGGCTGCCTGGTGAAATGCTCCATGCAGCACACGTCCACCACGAGGGGAGAGCCCAGGCACGAGTGCTCTGCTGTGCTGGGGGGAGCAGCAGGGCCAGCCCGTGATTAATAAGGCCCTAATAGCAACGGCAGCATTTGTGCTCCTTTCTGTTCGGGATGATCCAGGAGAGCTCGTGCATGTGAGCCTGGGGAGAACTCCTGACCTTGGTGTCTTTAGGAGACAGAAGCCTTTAGCAGCCCAGCCTGAGCCTGGGGCTGAGCAAGGGCTGGAGATAAGTTGGCAGGATTTGAGAAGCCCCTTGTGCATCACCCCCTGAGCACAGACACCTTCCTGTGGCAGCTGCTGAGTTATTTGGGTTCTGAGCCCTGTGCTGCTGTTCCCAGGGGGGCAGCCCAGCCCCTGCACTCCCCACTGCGTGTGGGAGCTGCAACAGGGCTGTGGGTGCAGACTGGGAGGGTTTGCACTGGTGTTCTGGGGCTGTCCCAGAGCACCACTGGCATCAGGAAGGGTGTCTCCAGCTGCTTCCAGTGTGATGGGAAAGCACCTTTGCCCTTCTTGGCCATGTTGTCTGTGCTGAGGGCTGGGGAATGACAGGCAGGCTCTGTTCGTGCTGGAAAACTTCACTGCACCCCTGAAGTTTATCCAAGCTGTTATTTCTAACAGGCATGGAGTGCTTGGAGTCATGGAAAGACACCACATGCCACCATTTCTTTCTTCTGCCCCCAGACAGGCACGTGCCTCAGCTGGAAGTGCCTTCCCAGTCAGCAGCACTAAGAACACAGTCCTACAGAGTTCAGAGTCCAAACCCAACTGAAATCCATTGGCAACCAAGTCATTTTGAGCAAGACAGGTCTTGCTGAACCTGGGGAGCCGTTATGGGTTGGGGAGTGCTCACCCAAGCTGGTATCTTTAAATTGCCAGTCATGGAAAAGTGTGTTAAACTCCCACTTTTACCAAAATGGCTGTAACAACTCCTTGGTAATCCCAGTAATTTGATTTTATCTATAACGTGCTTTTAAAGTAAAGGGATAAATACAATCAGTCTGCATAAAAGGTAGCTATTAAGGAGCAGGCAAGTTGTACAATAATAACTTTAAATTAAAAGCCCTTTCTCACTCTACTTCTGCTGTTGTGGGGTCTGCAGATTTTCCTTAAAACTTTTGAAACATGCCCAGGCTTCTTACAGGCAGCCACTTAACCTCCGTTTATGAAGAAATAAAGCAAAATTGATGTTGATTTTGGTCTGCATTGGGGGATACTTTTGCAACATAAAAGCCCTTTTGCCTGCAATTTGCAGAGCAGCCCTGTCACATCGGTGAGGGCTGATACTGATAAAGATAAAGCTTTATGGCTGGGGCATTTGCAGCTAACAGCAAGCTAATGCTACATTTTCATTTTGATGCAATTAATGTTAATGTCTGCTACGAAAATTGTCATTAAATACCATTTTAAAATCCATTCAATTTGCATATGCAAAGGCCATTTACTATCACGTAAAATACACGGGGCCGTTCATCATGTCTTTTCTCTAGGATTTGTGGCTGTTATTTTTCTGGTAGTGATTATTATCTAGCTCTTAAAATGAAACCTAATGTCTGGTCCAGACCTGCACAGAGCAAGAAAAAGCCTCTGTGCTCCAGCCAGAAGCAGGACTTTCAGAGCCTCTGAGCGCTGGTTTGTGCTGGAGTCCACTGGCTCTTTCAGCCTGCTGTGCTCTCCAGCTGCCCCTGAGTGAAGCCTTAAACATCCTCCTGCATTGCAAGGGGTGGATGGGCAGGATTATGCCCTTCTGGAGGGGCTGCTGGAGGGTCAGCTTGTACCAGCTCCCCTCCAGCCCTTGGGAGGAAGCCCAAGGAATCAGAAGAGAGCAGTGAAAACTTTCTTTGCCTCTGTTCTGCTCCACTACCAGTTTCTGCCCCATGCAGGGTGATGAACTAACAAGTTCAGTTGAACTGATCAGAACTCCACCAGAGCATTTCAGTGAGTGCAGACAGGTGGCAATGCTGTTGCTCTGATTTTCTGACCCTGGGAAGCCATTTTTCTGGCTTACAACTCTCCGTATTCCTCTAATTTACAGGGTTGGCATTGAACATGTCTTTAAGAGGTTCCAAGTCCTTAATGGCAGAGTTATGGCACATATGGTAGATTTAGGTAGTTGGTTATCAGGCAGAGGTGTAATCAGACATGGAAGTTGTCATGTGAAAAGGGGAGGGAGGGGGGATATGCCCAACCCCTCTCCCAGTGCAGCCTCCAATAACAGGTGGTTATCAGTGTTTAGGGAAGCTTTGTGGGGCATCCTGACCATGTTTCATCTGGGAGGCAGCAGCTGTGTCTCCCTCTGTAATTCTTATTCTCCTTTAACTTTTAACCCTATCCATTACTCCCCAGAAGTGATCTATGACCCAGCAGCATATCCAGCTTCAGGAACTTGTGTTTGGGGACTGTGCTAGCTGGGATATGGGAGAGATGTGGATGTGAGGGGAGGAAGGGATAAATTAAATTCATTCTGAGAAGGGCCCCGAGTCCTCCTTACCGTGCTGGCCTGCCAAAAGTCATGTCTGCAGGGATTTTGGAAACCCATCCCGTGAGGAATCTGTTCTCATCTTTGCGCCGAATGTCCATGAACTTGTAGTAGAGCCCGAACTCCCGGGCCGTGGTACAGCCGGCATCGACAGCCCCGGGGTTCATGGTCAGGAAGTCCCGGGGCATGATCTTCTTTTTGTTCTTTATGTTCCTGGGCTTTGCCTCATCCCAGTGGCCTATGGCTGGAGATGGAAGGAAATGTGAGAGGCATCTCAGTTAGCTCCTGTTTGGGAAGGCAGGCTGATGTTTGTGCACCGTGCAGGAGGGCCCTGTGTGGCCAGGATGTGTTTTGTCACGGTTTCACCGTGCAGTGAACTTCATTTCACATGGGGACACCTCCACCCTGGCTTGCTCAGGAGGCCTGATCTCACAGGGAAATTGTCCCTGAGAGCTCAAAGTAGGAGCTCTAACATAGTTCTGACAGTGGCCAGGTGTTATCACCCTTTGCAAGAGCCCCACCCCTCCCTGCCTGGGCTCTGTATGAGCCTCCAAAAGTTTCCAATATGAGAGAGAAACTGTACTGGTCACCAAGCAGTTTGTGTGGCAGTAATGAAAGTGGGTAAATGTTGGAGTTGTGCACCTCCAGCCTGATGAGAAGTGTTGAGGAGCCCTGGGAAGGGGAGGAAAGTCCATGCTTAGCATGAGGACTTTGTTGCAGGTCTGTGTTTTAGTGGCAGTGTCATACCTTCAGCAACTCCTCCATCTCTCTTGTGCACGTACATCCCATAGGTAAAGTCAAGGCCTGGCAGGGGGTAGCAGTTTCTCAGAGGCTTCCCCACTTCATGCTGCAGAAAAGTGAAGTTAAAAGAGAAGCATGAAGAGCTTTTCTGATAAGATAAAGCCCCTGAAAGTGAAAGTTCATAACAGAACATGGCCACAAGTACCAGAAGTGGCTGTGGCTCCGCTTGACAGGGGTTTGAATCTCACTGCACAAGCACAGTGCAAAAGGCAACTGAAGCCTAAAGGATGCTGAATTCCACACAAGTTTGTAGTTGAGTTATAAAGCAACCCAGTCTTGCTGGAAATAGGGGTCCTGACTCAATATATACAGACTTGAAATATTCTTGTTTGGTTAATCTCTCCATTGGCTGGGGTGCCCAGCTCTAGTGTCTGCTGGGGAGACTGGAGCTAGTCTTTACTTTCTTTAATTTCCAAGTTGTGCATCCTCCTAGAAAACTGACATAAACTTCCCCAGGCACCATCACATGGCTTGTCCTGCCTGGATCAAGACACAAGGCATGTTGCAGGAGGAGGATAAGGGGGATGAAGAAGGGACAGCAGAGCCTGGGGTTTATAGCATAGAAGAGAACTTGAGCTCAATAACCTCATTTCTGTTTAGTTTTAAAATGAACTCTTCCCCAGCCCATGTGTGTGCCAGCCTGGTGGTGTCTGTGGGATTAACTGACCTCCCCTCACCCTTTTGTCTCTCCCCTCCCATCTCCATGGTGAAGTCACTGCAGGGTGTGTGTGTCTTGAAACCTTAGTGCTGCTTGAAAGGGAGGCTGTGGAGGAGGGAAGGGAAGGGGTGGGATCCTGGCAGCAGCTTCGGGCTGTGCATCCCTGCGAGGGAAAGCTGGAGCAGGGTCAGGAAACAAGTCCCCAGGAGCCCTGAGGGCATGGTGTGCACGCTTTGGGACAGGTTATTTTCCATGGGAAGGGTGTTAGAGGAGCTGGGATGTTGTAGGTGTTGTCAGGTCTTGTTGGGAGAACGAAAGTGCTGAAATACTGTTCTAGTGCTTCTCCCTGAACACCAACATTGAGGTGACCATTATTACACTCCAGAGTGAGCACTCTGTGGATTAGGAGGTGCTGAATCAAATGTAGACCAAGTGAAAAGAGACTGCAAATGAACCACCTCCAGCTTCCCACTCTGGCAGGCTGAGGCTGTACAGCAGGGATAAGGGACCCAGCTTACTGGAGCTGCCTATGTAGGAACATCATCCAAATCCAAATTTACATCTGCTCCCAGTGCAGACCCTGGCCAGGGCCTCAAAGCAGCCATGGCTCTCCTGTACTCTGCTGGCTGCTTTCCAACATGCTCTTCTGCATCACCCTCAGCTCAGGCAAAACTCTCACTGAGCCAGTTTTGCCTGGAGAGTGAGGGTTAATAACCCCTGCCCAAAACAGGCACCTTTCCAGAGGGTTCTGTGTTGAGCTCTTTAGAATTTGCTCTTAATTTCTCAAACTTTTTCATCTGGAGACATTTCTCTGTGCACTCAGTTTGGGGTTTCTCAGCTGCTGTATCTATGTGTAGCTCCACAAGCCCTAACAGCACACGGTGGCTGTGGCACTGGGATCCTCACCAGTGTGTCCAGGGGGGAGATGGGGGTGCCTTGATCATGTGGTGACAACAGGTCTGCTCCTCTGCAGAGTGTGGCAAGCTGGCTGCCTGCTTTGCCAGTTTGGGATCACTGGGTCTGCACACCAGTACAGTGATTCTTTCAGGTAAATCCGGGATCTTACTTCTCAGGTCTGAGAGGGAGGTGCTTCATCTTGTTCCGGTTAAATCCACATATTTGTGTCGCTACAAAGCAGGTGTGGTATCCCCATGACTCTCAGGAGCACAAGTTCACCAGAAGATGAGTTTTGTGGACTTGCTGAGACCCTTTGGTAGGCTCAAAACCCCCAGGAGGCTCCTTGCCCTGTGCAAAAGGACAGATCCTTCGCTGCCCACAGACCTCTTTGAAAGCCACCCTGACGCAACCTGTGCATGATATGGCTGCATTTCCCGAGCTGCCAGTGGCAGAGGAAGGGACTGCCCCTTTGCAGGTGTGTCCAGCACCGAGCACGAGGGCAGTGAGTGGGTTTTTAGTGCTGCCACGAGTGAAATGCCACCCCGGCAGTGCTGAGCCATATGTGCCCGCTGCGTGTGAGTCGGGAGCTCACGCACAGCACACAAACCTCTGCCAGGGATGATGAAGTGGCTTTCATTGCTGATCTATTTCTCCTGTATTTACAGCTATTTTTAGAGTGGTTGTCACTGGTGTACGAGGGAAAGGGTGTAACGTTCCTCAGAGCCGTGAGAAAAGGCTTTTTCCAGGGAGCACGTTCTGAGACCGGAGCAGTTAAGTGAGGTCAGAAATCTGCAATGATGGTGAAGGTGTGGCAGATGGGAGAAAATTGCTGTGAGACTGCAGGAAAGGAGAGAGGTTTGTAACCTGTGGCAAAGCTGCTTCCAGACCCTCGAATGCAGAACTGTGGAGAATGAAAGAAATTACGGGCTTTAAAGAGTCCCTTTTGTCGAGCACCTGAAGGCAACACAGTTGGGTGTTTACTCCATCACAAAATGAGTGCATGCTGGTTCCTTTTATGATCAGGTGGCATTTTACAGTCACTTTGCACTGAATAAATAAAGCTGAAGGTGCTGGATAATTAATTAAAAAAAAAATCTGGTCCAATATGTTGAACATGGAGAGAATCTGTGCCTGAATCAAAATCAACGAACTCAGAGGACTCTGGTTGCCTGCCAACATCTTTTACCTACAAAAGAAGGGGAAGGATGTAGCAGGAATGAATCTTGCTTGGTGTAATCCAAGATTACAGCCTTTCTCATTCATAAATTAACAAGATGCTGTTTCCAGCTCGTGGGCTGGTTTCATTTGTTTGTCCTGGGGCATTATAGGTGTGCTCTGTCATAAAGCAGTGGGGAGAGTGAGCCAAAGTTGATGCAGAAGGTCCTTTTTTTCTCCCCCAGCCCCAGCACCGTTCCCTGTGTTCAGGTTTAGGTTGTCACAAAGCTGCTTGGCTGGAATACAGATCTGTCTGACAGCTGTGCCCATCAGCAGACAACTTCATTAAACCTCATTAAGATGTCATTTCTCTGCCTTATTTCCCACCTCTTGGCTCTAATTAAAACCGTCTCTCTCTGCATCCCAGGCGGTCCTAATTTTCTCTGGGTACCTTCTGCAAGTTTTCTCCCTTTACGACCTCAGTGAGGGGAAAATCCAGCATCCTAAATGCTGTTTATCCAGCCTGCTTGGAAAGGACAGCTCTAGACTTTTTCCTGAAGCATTCCCAGAGCACCCAGCAGGGATAACACCTCCTCCCAGGGCCGCAGGAGATGTGCACTGAGGCTTTTGTTTGCTCACTCCAACTGTCTTTAAGGACTTGGCTGATCCATCCTTTCCCTTTGGACACGATGATTTTCGTGGTTGAACCAGGGGTGTGTCTGGACTGGGTTTGGAGGGTGCCATGCTCAGACCAGCCCCAGCACGGTGTTGGGGGGTGTCTGATCGCTGGGGATACCTTGGCTGGCTGAAAAGCAAGAGGTGTTGGGTGTATCAGGATATCCCTGACCTTTGCTGAGCGGTTTCTGATTTCTTGAGCCCTGGGTTTGTATCTGAGTGTTGGAAGATGTTTTGCCGCCAAGGAAGAGAAGGGGTCTGTTTGTGAGAAGTGGATGCATTGTAAAGGTGTAAGGAAGCACAAAACCCTTCAGGTTTGGGGATGGAACACAAATATGTCTTGCAACAAAACCTGAAAGGTTTTGTTGCAAGACATATTTGTGTTCCATCCCCTGGTGTTTATGGCCCAGTGACACACATTGCATCAATTTTCTGAAGACGGCTGAGACTGAGAGAGGTTGGAGACGTGTTTGTGCAGAGCTCCAGCGAGAGACAGGCGTGGATTTTTAATCCCTGCCTCTGCAGCCCTTCACTGGGAGGGAACGCTGGGGCTGCCCCATCCCCTCCTCTCTGGCTCTGCCCCGTGGCCACCTGCAAACTCTGCGCCGGTCCATTTTCATCCTGCCAGGCCCTGCCTCCCTCCCACCTTCTGTTCCCCTTTTCATGACACCCCCTTGTACAGTAAAGCCTCCCCGTCACGCTGCCATTACTATTATTATTGCAGATTTACTGCACTTGCAGAGTGAAGTGATTGCAGTGACAAGGCCCAGCATTTTTCCCTCCTTCCCCCCCGCGACAGCTTGAAATCAAGCCCTTCATTTGCATTTACATGATCTTGCTGTGCAGCTTATGAGATCGGGAGATTTATTTGCTACTTAGCTTGATGTTTGATTACACTCTAAGAAGGCAGTGAGCTACAAAGTGCAGGGATACATCAGAACTGAGCTGCTGAAAGCCTCTGGGGGACAGTAACTCAACATCAGGTTTAGGTAGATGAGAAAGGGAATGTTCAGTGTTTTGAGAAAGGCAAATTTGATGAGGGTTTTTTTTTTTTTTTTTTGTTAAGGGTAGAGGGAAAAACTTTCACAAAAAAAAAAAAAAAGGGAAAACAAGAATGTTGTTCTATAAAAACACACCTGAAAATCTGGATTTGTTAGTGCAGAAGAAATCCTAGCAGGGGCTGGTGGCTGCTGGGCTGCCTGCCGCTAACTGCTTGCAACTTCCACTCCCAAGAAGATTATTAATAATAAGTTGGCAGTCATCTTCGAAGCTTTTCATAAGCATTAAAGGTCAAAGTCAAAGGAAGTTTTGCTTGATGGACCACCACAAAATCTGTCCCTGATTTATTAAGCTTCAAAACATGCCACTGAGCATTAATCCTCTGTAATAAGGGGGAAACTGAGGCAGGGAATCAGTGTGACCATGTAGGACAGCAAAGGGAATGGAGTTTGGACTGGGGAGAGAAGCAGATCATTCCTAATGGTCTCCTGAGTTCAGAGTGGGAGACCAAATTGTTACAGTGTCCCACAGCAGTGTGAGATTCTTCCAGAGAAAAGGGTGATGGTTGTGCAAACTGCTGCCCTCAGAGTCGGGAACGGCAAAGCTCGAGGATCTTGCTGTGAGTTTAACTCCTTCCATCACAAATGCTGCAGACAGGGCAC